GAGGGGCAGGAGGTGGCGTGGCAAGAGTTTTGGGAGCTGCGACATGCTACGGGTGATGGTAGCACGGCCGGAGACGTGGGGTGCCACATTTCTCACCTCGTTCGCGGGCATGCTCGAACCGCGGGAGCGCCTGGCCATCCCGGCCACGATGGAGCAAGTGGTGTGGGTCGGTGGCGACGCGACCCTTGAGGTGGCGGGGCAGATCGACTGGGCGGCCAAGGTCTACGCGAGACAGGAGCTCGCTGGCTACATGGACGCGTTGAAAGCGGCTGCTGGGTTACCCGAGGATTGGGTCATCATAGCGCTCAGGGAGTTGTTCTGCATCGTGGGCTTCGCGGTCGCCCGCGGACGGGAATGGCGAGAACGGCTGATCATCTACGTGGGGGATAACAAGACAGTCCAGCGGTGGGTGGAGACCCGTCGCCCGAAGAATCGGATGGCGAGGCACCTGGTGAGGCTGCTCAACTATGTGGAGGCGAAGTACCACTGCCGGGTCTTGGCGGCACCTTACATCAGGACGTACAGCAACGAGATGGCGGACATGATCACCAGGGCGGACGAGAGCGAGGTCAAGCGTCGCATGGACGAGGAGGGTTTCACGCCGATCGACCTAGCGGGCACTTGGGCGGAGGTACTGTCCCAGAGCTACGAGCGGCGCGTCCATGCTGTGGCGCTCGTGGACCCCGAGGACTGGCAAGTCGCCATGCAGCTCATGGCCCGCCGATCGCCGGGGGAGGTCCCGCGCCTGCTGCTGCAGACGGCCTGGCGCGTGGTAGAGGTGAGGAGCACGATGGCCCCCTACGCCCGGGCCGCGGGCGCGCTGGGGGCATGCGGCGAGGCAGAACTGGCGAGAGGATGGCCGAACTTCAAGGCCAGCGGGTCCGCGAGAAAGAGCCACCTGACTTTGGCGGTGACCTCCCTCGGCCCATCGCGAGCGGCCGCTCACCTGCAGGACTTCGCCCAGGAGCTGCCGGGGCTGGCGGCGCAGTGGGCATTGGTAGACGTACCGCCGGGCCCCACGGTGGCAGACGTGCTGAAGTTCTTCCAGGACATCGGTTGGAGTGCTGTGGAGGACGGGCGGGTGTGCAGCGAGTGCGGCGACCCAGTGGCCCAGCGGAAAGTTTGGGCGTTGGCGTCGAAGGCCGGGAGGCCGGCGCCGGCGGGATGGCTGGGGAGTCAGGAGGCGAAGCCCCCACCCCACCGCTGCCGATGGCAGGAGGAATGCTGAATGCCCGCCGCATCGAGGAGGATGAGTGGCTGGCGCCCGAGGATGGGCGATTGGTGGTGGGCCCGCGGGCAGCGAGGTCACCGCGCCACCTTCCACGGATCATCGGCCAGTGGCACCCGCGGGGGCAAGTCGGCAGGCGCCCCGTGCATGGCAGTTCGGGCCCCTCGCCGACCCCGCGGGTGGAGGAGAACGGAGCGCTGGGCCCAGTCCTGGTCTACGACGCGAAGGGCGCCCCGCCGGGGGTCCGGCCACTCCAGGCGCAGGAGGTGTGGCACTTGCGCGGAGGGGCCAGTGCCGACTGGGAGCACCTGTGCACGCAGGTAAGTCACGAGGACGTGCTGAGAGAAGTCCTGCGCGCGTGCCCCCCGCGCGCGGCCGCGGCGGCGCTGGCGGCCGCGCTCAGGCAAGCGGAGGCGGCCACGGAGACAGGAGGGAGGACAGCAGGCATCTGCCGCCGCCCCGAGGATGAGGAGAGGAGGCGCGAGCTCACGAGCTGGCTCCAGCCGGATGGTCGGCGCCGGCAGGACGCAGCGAGGAGGGGCGAGCGGCGCGGCGGCATGCTGCCAGGGGGGCCCCCCGCGCCGACAGCTCCGTCACTGGGCAGGCCGAGGCAGGAGGAACCACCAGCCGAGCACCTCCCATCTAAGGCGGCGCCTGGCGGCCGCTTACCCCCCATTTGGGAGGAGCAGCAACCCGTGGCGGCGAAGGCACCTCCGCGCGGGGCCACGCAGGTCCACGGCCCGAGGGGCCAACTGTGGAGGGGAGGCCAGGCGCGCCGGCAGGAGCAGGAGGGAGCCCGCTGAGCAGCAGGGGCCGGCACGCGGGAGGATCAGAGGATGAGAATCGGGGCGACTGGACAGCCGCCGGGGCCGACCGTGAGCCGCTCCCCCAGCCCGAAGGTCGGGCACCTCCCATTGGGAGGTCGGGCGGGTCAGGTGGGTCGGCGGGGGCGCCGCGCGCCCCCTGGCACGGGGCGGAGCACGACCCGCTCAGGCCTGGCGGGCCAACACGCGCTGCTGAGGAGGCGAGGGGCCTCGAGTCGCTGGAGACCCACACGGAGGAGGAGTCGGAAGGCGAAGAGGAGGAGGTCCCGACGCGCACGCGGGCGCGGGCCCCCGCCACCGGCCCGGCGGGGCGTCGCGAGGAGGAAGAAGAGAGGACGCCGCCAAGGGCGGTGGCACGGACCGCCCGCGGCCCTACCGAGGGCCAGCCGGGCAGGCGTCCTCGCACGCCGCGCCGTGCCGCCTCTCGGCGGGAGTAAGGAGAGCAGCGTGAGCGCGGGGAGCTGGTGCTGCAAGAGGCGCCGGCGGCCGGGCCGCCCGGGGACACCGACCCGGAGGCGGTGGGCAGGTATCTGGCGGCGGCAGCGAGCATCGGCCAGGGCAGTGAAGGGCGAGAGAGACGGCTGAGGCGGATCGCCAGGAAGGACTCCAGGCGGGCTGGTAGGCATGCAGATGCCAGTTACGCGCCGGAGCTCCAGAGGTTGGTGGACGCAGCGGTGGTGGCTTCGGTGGCCAAAGGAACGAAGGCGACCTACGGGGTGGCTTGGAGGCAGTGGACGACGTTCTGTCGGATCCGCAGGAGGTCGCCCATACTGCACGGTGAGACTCGCGAAGAGCGCCACCAGGATGAGGAGGAGCTGCTGATTTTCATGGTGCACCTGTACAACAGCCTGAAGCGGTCGCACGGCACGATACGGTCGAAGTTGCTGGGGATCCGCTCGCAGCACGTGATGTTGGGGGAGCCCGACCCCTTGGCGGGGAAGCCGTGGCTGTGGATGGCGTTGAACGGGATCGAGAACTGGCAGGGGCCAGGGAGGAGGAAGCTCCCGGTCACGACCAAGATGCTGAGGAGGATTCGTGACATGCTGAAGCCGGACACTTGCGCGGACGATGCGGCCCTGTACTTCTGCGTGATCTTCGCTTTCTTCTTTATGATGCGGATCGGGGAGTACGCTCACTCGGGGCACTGGGACCTGAAGAAGGTTCTGACGGGACTGGACATCGCCCCGAAGTGCAAGGGCGAGCAGGTGAGCCACTTCGCCGCGGCGGATGAGGTGGTTCTGTGGTTCAAGTCGTCGAAGGCCGACCAGAAAGGAGCTGGGCAGGCCAGGAACCACTACCACTCGCACGACCCGTTCGGCATCTGCCCCGTGTGGGCAGCGGAGTGCTACAATCGCTGGTTCCAGAGCCGCCTCACGGGCAAGGAGGCGCATTTGCCGCTTGCGAGGTGGGAGGACGGCAGCCCGATCACGCGGGAGCGCGTCCAGGGCTTGCTCCAAAGGCGGCGGCGCTGGAAGGCTACCCGCCAGACAGGTTCAAGAGCCACTCGCTCCGCATTGGCGGGGCGACCGCCCTGTACCACTGTTTCCAGGACACAGAGCTGGTGAAGCGGTGGGGGCGGTGGAACAGCGGCGCCTTTCACCAGTACCTGTGGGAGGCTAACGAGGACGCAGCCGGTGTGTCGGAGGCGATGGCGAAGTCCGTCGCAACCTTGCACGTGGGATACAAGGCTACGGCGGGTGGAGAAGGAGTGGCGGTCGATGTGAAGGGAAAGGTGGCTTCCTGAAGGGAGGCAATTGGAGTTCAAAGTTTCGCGCCGTGGTGTGCCACCACTGAGGGGGCCAGTGCAGGATTGTGCGCAGTCCCGGGGAATTGGCCTGGGGGCAGCGGTGACCCCCAGGAACGGCGGAGTGGAGGAGGACGAGCCCTGGGGCGTCCCGCCAGCGCGGTCCCCGGGGGAGGTGGAGGAGGAGAGGTGGAGGAGGGCCGGGGCGTCCCGCCAGCGCGGTCCCCGAGGAGAGGAGGAGGCCCCGGGCCGTCCCGCCAGTTGCGGCCTCTGAGGAGAGGCGAAGGAGGTCACGCTATGCGGCGCGAGGCGCCCAGCTGCGAGCCCTGTTCGGCAACACCCGCAAGTTAAAGGGCGCCGAGGGGGTGTGAGGAGCTGGGTGGCCGTGGGGCCGCCAGTCTGGCGGCACAGCTGGGCCTCAGCCGAAGCCCAGCATCAGCGGAGGAGGACGGCGCGCGTGAGCCTGCGGCTGCCAAAACGCGCGCGCGCCTGCCCCTGCCGCGTGTGCTTGTTTTTTATTTGAGCCCAAACAGTGCTCGTGCTCTCGGCCCCGTGCGTGTGAGCGCGAAGATTGCTGCGCCGTCTCGGGCGCTCACTGTTTGGTTTCTTCCAGGCACCTTCTCACTTAAACGTGAGAGTTTGAGCGTGCTTAAAACGTAAGGTTTCAGGGAGTAAGTGCCTGGTGAGGGGGAGGGGCTCTCTCTTGTCCTCTGTCCCTTTCCCCCTCTCCGCGGCCCCCTTTGGGGCTCAAATTTCTCCTCGGGCCCTTCCCTCCCAGGCCCTCCCTGGCCCTTCGTAGGTCCTTTTTTCGGCCTTGACCGCATAGCGGTTCGGGCCGCCGTGGGGCCGCCAGTCTGGCGGCACAGCTGGGCCTCAGCCGAGGCCCAGCATCAGCGGAGGAGGACGGCGCGCGTGAGCCTGCGGCTGCCAAAACGCGCGCGCCTGTCCATGCCGCGTGTGCTTGTTTTTTGTTTGAGCCCAAACAGTGCTCGCGCTCTCGGCCCCGTGCGTGTGAGCGCGAAGATTGCTGCGCCGTCTCGGGCGCTACTGTTTGGTTTCTTCCAGGCACCTTCTCGCTTAAACAAGGAGGAGCACGAAGAAAAGGACGAGACGGATGAGGAGGACGCCAGAGGCGATAGGAGCAGGGCGGGAGGAGGAGGAGCTTGATGCGTCGCGTTTCCCCGCTCGACTTCCCAAAGGCCGCCTGCGCCGCGGTCCACGGAGAGCCCAGGCGGGCCCAGCCTGCACCTGCGCTGGGGAGAATGCGCTGTCACTGCGAGCAGCTCCTCCTCCTCCTCCTCCTCTTCTTCTTGTTATTCTTATTATTCGTCTTGTTATTCTTCTTAATATTATTCTTTTTCTGTTTCTTATTATTATTAGTAGTATTATTATTATTATGATTATTAGTATGTTTACTAATATTATTATTACTATTATTATTATTATTAGTAGTAGTATTATTAGTATTATTATTATTATTATTATTATTGTTATTATGATTATTATTACTATTGATATTATTATTATTATTCCTCTTCCTCTTCCTCTTCCTCTTCCTCTTCCTCCTCCTCCTCCTCCTCCTCCTCCTGCTCCTCCCCCTCTGTCCTCCTCCTCCTCCTCCTCTTCCTCCTCCTCCTCCTCCTCCTCCTCCTCCTCCTCCTCCCCCTCTGTCCTCCTCCTCCTCCTCCTCCTCCTCCTCCTCTCCTCCTCCTCCTCTCTCCTCCTCCTCCTCCTCCTTCCCCTCTGTCCTCCTCCTCTGTCCTCCTCCTCCTCCTCCTCCTTCCTCCTCCTCCTCCTCCTCCTCCTCCTCATCCTCATCCTCCTCGTCCTCGTTCTCTCCTCCTCCTCGTTCCTCCTCTACCTCCTCCTCCTGCTCCTCCTCCTCCTCCTCCTCCTCGCTCCTTCTCCTCCCTCTCTTCCTGCTCGTTTCTGCCTTCCACCCTAGAGAATCGATGAGGGATGCTTCAGGACGTCTGAGGTAGGTTATTGGAAGTCTTTGACTCGTTTTAGGACCCCAGGCGGATATAAAGAAGAGGAGGAGGAGGAGGAGGAGGAGGAGGAGGAGGTGCCTCCTCCTCTTCTTCCACCTGCTCATCCTGCTGCACATGATCCTGTTTTTCCTCCTCCTCCTCCTCCGACTCGGCATCATATATTATCCTTCTCCCTATTATCGTTCCTCCTCCTCATCAGTGTGGTTCCTCCTCCTCCTCCTCCGCCTTCTCCTCCTTCTCATTTTCCTCCTCCTCCTCCTCCTCCTCCTCGGGCCTCTCGTGCGATTACCTCCTCATCACTTATGATCTGGAAACTTGAAATTCACACAAATACACGAATGGGGGGGCGCTTTCCAAATCGAATTATCGCTTCAACGTCGCGCGCATTCGTCTTGCATCAACAATTCAACACAAGGATGTATGAAACACAAATCATGTTCAACATGAGGTTCTAGTTTGCGCGTTCGAATGTTCCGTCTCCGCGCAGCCTGTTGCACAGAATAGAACCCAAGTCCAGCCTGTTTTTCTTGATCCGCTCAATGCGCGATGCCTGACGAATCCCACCAGACCTCCGGGCGTAGGTGGTCTAGCGCGTTTCCTCTTCCACCCCTCCCTCTTCCCCATCGGGGAGGGGCTTCTCATTGTTCCTCATTAATATACATCCCCTCCCCCACCCGGCCGGCGGCCAACCTGGAACCATGCCGACTCCATTCGGGCCCGCCCCCCACCATCCCAGTCGAAAAAAAGCAATACAAACAGCACTCTGCCTCCACATTTGGAGCATGCGCGGCCAACCCGATGCGGCCCCCCCACCATCCCTGTCAAAAAACAATACAAAGTACACGTTGGGGCAAAGTCTTGAGTCATGTTCGTGAGGCCCGCGAGCACTTTGTATTGTTTGTGAAAGGGACGGCGGGGGTGTCAGCATATTCCCTGCTGCGCGCAGGGCTACTATCCATGACAAAAAACTATACAACATGGACCTCGCGGCTAAATCTGGATCATGCGCGGCCATCCCGCGATCATTGTAACATGTTTTTGACAGGGGCCGCGGGGGTGGTGGCGCGTGGCCTGCTGTGCGCAGGCCCACCAGACACAATGATGGTCATTGTGGGGACCGACATGTTTCCCGATGTGTGCTGTCACGTGCGCAGGCGCACCTGACGCACTCTGACTCTGCACGTGCCCCGAACGTGGCGCACCTGGCGCGGCTGGTGTGTGCGGCACACCTGGCGCACTCGGAGCACGTGGCGCATCTGCCGCACCAGGCGTGCCTGGCACGCTCAGGCCTCAGGGGTGCCTGGCGCGCGTGGCGCCCCTGGGGTCGGCATTGGTTCCCAGTAGCTGTCCATCCAAAGACGACAGCTGAACATGCTCAGGCTCGGGTGTTACTTATGTGTTGGGAGGGCGGGTGGGAGTGAGCTAGACGGCTTGCGGGCGGGTGGGCAGCTTGACCCCTCACCCCCTCACCTGGACCTGGAGGGGTGGGGTCGCGTGTCGTTGGCGCGTCCAGGATTGCCCAAGATGGAGGGCCTCAGGGAGCCCAAGATGACTTCCAAGATGGCCCAAACTAGCCCAAAATGCAATATGGCTCCCAAGAAGCTCCAAAGAGGCCTCAAGACCGCTCCAAGACGGCTCCGAGTGGCCACGGAGCTTCCCCAGGAGGCCGCCAAGAGGCCCAAATCCTTCAAAAACCTGAGGAACATCAATGAAGATGCCTTCTACCCTTTTCGCTTCCGATGGCCTTCCGAGAGCTCAAGGCAGCTCCAAGAGGGCCCATGAGGGCCCCAAGAGAGGCCCAAGAGCCCAAGAGAGCCCCAAGACGGCCCCAAGAACGCCCAAGAGCGCTCCAAGAGCGCACCAACAGGGGCCCAAGAGGCGATGTTTGGGACTCCCGCGGGGGGAGTAATTAGAGCTCCCATCTGTTTTGATCGATCTCCTCCAAGATAGCGAGCGCTCCCAAGGCTCCCAAGAGCGCCTCAAGAGGGCCCCCAAAGGCGCCCAGGAGGCCGCAAGAAGGGCCCAACTCCCGAGGGCCACAAGAGAAGCCCAAGAGAGCCCCAAGACGGCCCCAAGAGCGCCCAAGAGTGTCCCAAGAGCGCTCCAAGAGGGGCCCTTCCTCTGTGTGCTGCCCACTTCCCTGATAGAGGCAACTCCTCTGGGCATCGTATCTGGATGGGCTGGTGGGATTACTTTTTTGATCGTGACCGCGGCGAGGAGGTCGGGAGGCGTAAAGGTACGAAGCGCAGATGCATCGGCCTAAATTAGCGCACAGGAAGAGGGAGGCGAAAAAAGGAAGAGAACGAGCGCGGAAGAGAGAAGACCAAGCGGGGAGGGGGGGGCAAACAGGAGGCGAGCCTCGTTTTGGGCTGGTGGGGTTACGCGAAGCGTCAAGGATAGTGGTTCTGCAGCGACAAATGAAACGGCGTCGGCGCCGGTGCCCGAGTCGAAGGTGCCCGAGTGAGGATTATGTAGAGCGGCACCCCGTAGGGCTGTAGCAGGGCATGGTGGCCTGGCGTCGGAGCCCGAAGTCCCCAGCGGGATGGCAGCGGGCTTCCCTGCTGCCCCGCCCGTGCGGCTTGACGTGATTCTCCTTTGCATACCCTCGGCGGCGAGCGAGGAGAGGAAGTAAGAAGGAGAAGGCCTTCTCAGAAGGCGGCGGGGCTTCTCAGAAACCTTCGCGCCTTCTGAACGTGTTTCTGTGCCTTCGGGAAGACTTAGAAAACTTCTCCGAAGGCCGGAGGCCTTCCGAGCCTTCTGGGAAGGCCTTATCCTTCTCACTTCCCCCCTCGCTCACCGCCGATGCCCACGTGAAGGGCCGCGTCCGTTTCAGGTGCTTTTTGGCAGCCGTCATGCGATACGAAGGCGTCCGCGGTCGCGGTGGCCGAACCGCGCTATCCGCCCCTGCTGCACGTACATGGGATGTGCGCGCGGCGTCGGCGGCGGCGCGCGGCCTAGCGCAGCCCCAGGAGGACGGAGGAGGAGGGCGGAAGAGGAGGAGGAGGAGGAGGAGGAGAAGGAGGAGGAGGAGAAGGAGGAGGAGGACGTGGAGGAGGAGGAGGAGGAGGAGGAGGAGGAGGAGGAGGAGGGAGGAGGAGGAGGACCGAAGAGGGGGAAGGACCAGGAGGGAGGAGGACAGAGGAAGAGGAAGAGGATGAGGATGAGGATGATGATGATGATGAGGAGGAGGAGGAGGAGGAGGAGGGTCGTGGAGGAGGGGAGGAGTGGGAGGAGGAGGAGGATGGAGGAGGAAGAGGAGACGGGAGGTGGAGGAGGAATAGGAGGAGGAGGAGGGAGGAGGAGGAGGAGGAGGAGGAGGTGGACGTGGACGTGGAGGAGGAGGTGGAGGAGGAGGACCGAAGAGGGGAAGGAGCAGGGGGAGGAGGACCGAGGAAGAGGATGAGGATGAGGAGGAGAAGGAGGACGTGGAGGAGGAGGAGTGGGAGGAGGAGGAGTGGAGGAGGAGGAGGAGGAGGAGGAGGAGGAGGAGGAGGAGGAGGAGGAGGAGGAGGAGGAGGAGGAGGAGGGAGGACCGAAGAGGGGAAGGACCAGGAGGGAGGAGGACCGAGGAAGAGAATGGGGATGAGGAGGAGGAGGACGTGGAGGAGGAGTGTGGGAGAGGAGGACGTGGAGGAGGGGGAGGAGGAGGAGGACGTGGAGGAGGAGGAGGAGGAGGAGGAGGAGGAGGAGGGAGAAGGAGCGAAGAGGGGACGGAGCAGGAGGGGGGAGGACCGAGGAAGAGGAAGAGGATGAGGAGGAGAAGGAGGACGTGGAGGAGGAGGAGTGGGAGGAGGCGGACGTGGAGGAGGAGGAGGAGGAGGAGGAAGAGGAGGAGGACGTGGAGGAGGAGGAGGAGGAGGCGGAGGAGGAGGAGGACCCGTGCAAACGCAAGACGCAAGCACGGTCTTCGTCGCTCCGTGGCTCAGCGCAGGGCGTGCCGCCGCCGCCGTGCGGCCGTGGAGGGGGTGACGGCGCTGGCGGGCGATGCCCCAGGAGCTCTTGCTGGCATCGTCTCGCCGTCGCACGGACGTCCATTCTTGGCGGCGCGCAAAAGAGGGTGGGGGGAGGGGGAAGGGGGGCGGCCTTACATCTATAGATAAGGCCCGAGCCTTCTAAGAAGCAAGGGTGCTTCTGAGAAGCCCTCCCCCCTCCCCCCACCCCCCTCTGCGCGTGGCTGACATTCCCCATGCATGTTTCGGCTTCGTGCGTGCTTTCATTTCGCAATCTCACCCTAGATGCTCCTCGATGGTCCTCGCC